CGGCGATAACTTTTAGGCACGATGGGGCGAGGAGTACTCGTGGAAATGTCGCATAGAATAGTATCTCTTCCCATACCTAAGGGTTTCTCAGCTAATTGTAGAGTTGTTTTCGACAACTCATGTTGAAGCTCGGTATCTTCTTTTTGAAGACGAGCCAGTTTTACAAGGTCTATGCCGTCGATTTGGGTGAGGGAACAAACGCGCGACAAGGCATCTGCCACAGTGTTGTTTACTCCGGATACATGGCGAATATCTGATGTAAACTGTGAAACGTAATCCAGTTGTCGTGATTCCCTGGGTGAATACTTATCTGAAGGTGAGTTCAGAGAGTACGTCAGAGGTTTGTGATCAGTAAAAAATGAATTCACGACCCTCTACTGAATGTCGAAAATGTCGTATAGCACAGTACATAGCCAGAAGTTCTCTGCCGAATGTGCTGTACTTCGTTTCAGCTAATTGAAGGCGCCTGGAGAAAAAGGCGAGTGGTTGCCACTCATTGTCAACTAGCTGTTGTAGAACTGCGCCGATTGCAGTGTTTGATGCATCAACCGAGATACTTAACGGTGCCGTTGGATCCTGATACATCAGAAGTGTGGCATTCGCAATAGCTTTTTTAATTTGGGTAAAAGCATTTCGAGCAGACGCGTCAAGTTCTATGGACTTGTTATTCCCTCGAAGAAGGTCTGTCAATGGCTGAATCAGAGAGGCACAGTTGGGAATAAAGCGTCGATAATAACTTACTAAGCCGTTAAAAGTGCGGAGACTTTTCACCGTCTGTGGCTCTGGAAAGTTCAGTATAGCCTCGACCTTAGTAGCCAGTGGGCGAATGCCCTTGCAGTCAATAGTGTGACCCAGAAAGTCGAGTGAGTCAACACCGATTTGACACTTTTGAATATTAATGGTAACACCATGTTGGCGTAACCTTTCAAATGCCAAGTCCAAATGTCTAAGGTGAGTTTCCTTGTCTGGACTGGCAATGAGGCAGTCGTCTAAGTATGCGTATACAAAGTCGAGACCGCGAAATACTTCGTCAATGAAGCGTTGGAATGTTTGGGCTGCATTCCGAGACCGAATGGCATACGTAGAAATTCAAAAAGTCCGAAAGGCGTAATGATAGCCGTTTTCGGGATATCTTCTGTTGCCATCGGGATTTGGTTATACGCTTTAACCAAGTCGATTTTAGAGAATATAGTCGCGCCAGATAATGTTGCCGTCAAGTCGTGTATATGAGGCAACGGGTAGCAATCAGGGGTTGTTTTGGCATTCACTCGCCGGTAATCACCGGTGGGTCGCCAATCGTTGCTATCCTTTTTCGGAACCATATGAAGTGGGGATGCCCATGGGCTATTCGAAGGTCGAATGATGCCAAGGCAAGCATATGGTCAAATTCATTCCTGGCGATTCTCAGTTTGTCAGGAGCTAGTCGTCGTGCTTTAGATATCATGGGTTGTCCTGTGGTAATGATGTGGTGCATAACATTGCTGGTTATGCACGGTAGGTCGTTCGACGGCCGGTTAAGTTCCGGATACTTGTCAACATAGGTTGAAAAGTTGGATCAAGAATTGCCTTTATCTTAACGGGTGACAAGCTAGGGCCTATGTAGGTGATGCCTTTGATAGACAGACTAGTAGTATTGTCAATCAGTCGTTTTCGGCGGACGTCTACGAGTAAATCATGATGATTAAGTAGGTCCGTGCCAATGATGGGCATTGTAACGTCAGCGAGAAGGAAAATCCACCGAATAGGTTTGCGTAAACCTACGTTCAGATAGACGTATTTCCTACCAAAGGTTGCGATTGGTTTTCCATTTGCAGCCTGTAAGTTGAAGGTAGGTTCCTTCTGTCGATCTGCTGCTGTAGCAGGAAGGACGCTGACTTCGGCGCCTGTGTCGACTGAATATCGAGTCTGGCTGATCACATCATGGATGTAAAGTAGGCGGCTAGTACCACCGGCGACGGTTTCCGCTACTGCGTGCCGGCGGGATAGTTTCACACAGACTTTGAGACATTTCCAAAGTTACAAGGCTTACGGCAACACTTCGCTTCTTGGCCATAGGTGTTGTGGTACCAGCACCAATCAGGGTTTTTTAGAGAACGTGGTCCGGACTTAGATCGACCAAGTGAGTTTCGGTGTTGAGGAGATTTAGGACGACGGTGGGAGTTAGAAGGCATGTTTGACTTAAACATCTGCTGGACGGAGTTGTATAACTCTAACATTTCAGTATCCTTACTCGAAGTCTGCTTAGTCACCGAGCATATTTCGGGAACTGACCGTTTAGTTATTTCTAGAATCTTACCTGCAGAAATAGCTAAGTCATCTATTACAACACCCTGAAAGGTCACAAGTACGGTCTGCACGGACTGTGGCAGCTTGGATAAGAAGAGTTCTCTAAAAAGTCCTTCATCGAACTGACTTTGGCCAATAACCTCCCTCATTCTTGTCAGCATGCTCACGGCTGACTGATCTCCTAACTCGATGTTACGGAATAATTCGTCCAAACGTTGTCGGTCCGTGAGAACGTTTCTCCTGAGGATGGATGCTTTGAGAAACTCGTACGAGTTACTTACCTCGGGACTCAACATCTGTGATGTTACGTACTTGCTGAATTCCCGCGGTAGGGCGTGAATAACTGCAAGTAACTGTGAACGGTGATCGGTTATCCCATGCTCACAAAAATCTGCTTCAGCTATCTGAAACCACGTTTCAGCATTATCTGGCCAGTATGGTACGAGCTGAATGGTTTTAGGAGTTGAGCGGATACGAATGACCTTGGGACTAAGATCACTCATGACGAAAATTATGTCGAATAATATATGGTACAAGAACAAATACAAAATGGAACGAACTCACCAGGGTTATCTGCGTATTTATCGTAGATGAAGTTCGCGGTTGGGCTAACCAGTTTAGAGGTTGACGAAATCTCTTATACAGCAACTTCTAACTTACTAATACTCGCGTCCCAAAAGCAAAGCAAAAGCCAATATTTGATCGTCCAAACCACGTGATATATTTCGGGACCAAAACAAGCCGTCAGACGAACGCTTAGTTGGCTAGTGATCGTGCACGAACGTGACACGACGGAGAACCAAATGGCGGGGCTGCTTGACCGGAAGCCTTCAGCTAAACAAGTCAACTTAAACAGTGGTGGTCAGCATCCAATGATGATTGCTGTGGTTAATAATTTTGAGGAATTATTTACCGCTACAAGATATATGGGTAGCATTATACATTGTAAATGAACGTTGTCGGTCTCAGGATTAATTACTTTCCATTGTCTTTCCTATATAAATGTATTTATTAATGGTATATTGCACTTACCTATTTTATTACACTTTAATGATTCACCTTAGCACTTTAACTTTTCTAAAACAGCTTTCAATCCCTTGTAAACGTTGTACTTACCTCAATATTGGTTGGTTATCGTATGTCTACAACCACGAGATTTAAACGCAATCTGGAAGACAAATGTACAATTCAAAATCTACAGGGCCTGGTTCAGACGATGAGTGAATTTATATATATATCAAATATTTCACTGTTAAAACATAATTAACTTGTAGACAATTTAAGATTTGATATTATATCATACTTGATCGTGCCTGTAAAAATGGCATGCTTTTTCATGTAAATTTATATGTTTATATTAAAATATACATATTAATACATAATTAAAGATTTAAGAAAATAATGCAAAAGTGATAATTCAAATTGCTTGAAGTTATTAACTCTTCAGAACATTAAATAGAATGAAGTGTAGTCAAGATTTGACAGAATAGTTCCATAATATTTGGGCGCCGAGTGAGAAGTAGACATTTGTAAAAAAAATTATATTTGTAAAATCTCATCGATATTGAAATGAGTAATTCCAACGTTTCTTTCGGCAATCCGGTCCGAACTTCTTCAGGGAAATTAATCGAAATTAACATAACAGGTTTATATATAAAAGGAACATCTTTTGTTTTTAAAAACTTTGTCCAATCATGATTTATAAAACAAATATTAACAAGTATAATAAACAAAATTGTACGAGTTGTTATCAAAACCATAATTTTGAAAATACGTCTATTCATAAAATTCTAGGTACTAACAGTTCGAACAGACATGAGGGTGTGATGTTAGATGACGCATAGAAAATCCTGATTAATAAATAAGAATGGATATGTATCACTAGCTAATAATACTTGCTAAAAGTTTCCCGACTGTCTATGTCTACTTATGGAGACGTTAAGACATTGTTTTACAACTGTTTATCCGCACACACACACTGTGTTTAAAGTGTTTAACAAAGGCAGATCAATATTTGTAAGTCTGAGGTCAAATTTTGATCACAACTCGCACAATTTTGTTTAGTATACTTGTTAATATTTGTTTTATAAATCATGATTGGACAAAGTTTTTAGAAACAAAAGATGTTCCATTTATATATAAACCTGTTATGTTAATTTCGATTGATTTCCCTGAGGAGGTTCGGACCAGATTGCCGAACGAAACGTTGGAATTACTCATTTCAATATCGATGAGATTTTATATATATAATCTTTTACAAATATCTTCAGAACATTGTTTGCATTTTTGACACTCCTGATAAGTCCTTACAGCTTGATATGTCACGAATTCGTTGAATTCAGCAAATAAATCCACTGGTATATCATTTCTCTCTTGAGCTGAATGTTTGTGTTTTCAGTCATCTATCCGACTTGATAAAACGCACCTGGAAATTTTGAACTTAACCAAGTAGCCAAATGTAATCCCACTCGTCATGCAGTGATCTGAAATAGAGAGCAAGCGCGCAGTAGCAGTGTGATCAAACAATTTTCGCGTGCTAGTAAGAACGAAGACTCAAGGTCAACAGTTATATTTACAACCAATCGCAATTCAATTAGATAAGAGTGAAGGGGCACTTCTATTGGTCATCCGTTGCCTCGTCTTGAGTAACCAATCCCTGCACACTTCGTAACCGACCTGAAAGTAGACAAGTATAGTTTGAATATTAGAAAACCGCCGAATTTACCTTGCCTTACATAAATGATGTTCGAAATTACCTCAACTCGAATGACAAACTGGCCAATCACAAGCGAGCAAATCGCTTGTTTATCTCATTCGCGGTCACTCAAAATTACGGCCGTCGACAGGTTGGCGGGTTCCTCGGAGTGCGATGCATTCTGATATTTCGGAGAGTACTGGTGACGCTAAAGTCGAGTCTCAAAGTAATAATGAATTTTAACCTATTAGACGACACTTCAGAATTAGTATCAGAGGCATCTTATTCCAATGGAACTTCTCAAACCTTTACTCCAACATCAGTGGGAACTAGGCGGGAAACATTCGAAAATGAAATGAATCGCTCACCTACATCTCCGACAGGACTTCACGAGTCATTAAGGTCGCCAATTTTGTCCTACCAAAGCAGGAAATCACCTTCTAGATGCAGTATAGTTTTAAATAAGCCGCGTGAATTAGCAAACTCACAGACCCTTACTCGTAAAAGCTGTATTTTCCATGAGGTAGGCTACAGTTTTCAAAGCTTATTCAACAATCAAGGGTGTTCGGTACCTTATAGGTGACGTGGTTTCACTGCTGGATATAGATGGAGGCGTGTACTATGCTCAAATAAGAGGTAATGGATTTTGTTACCGATAATAACTGTAGGACTTGCCACGGATTCCTATGGTGATAACTTCTGTTTTCTAACTTGGTTGATCCCAGTCTTAGGTGCCAAAGAGGGAGAATTTCGGCCTTCAGACTATATAATTGGTATTTGGTTTTCCTTTATTCTAATTTCCCCGTAGGTATGGAAGAAGATGTAATGAGGGATTTGAACTGCTGTAGATGGGTCTGCCATTGTCCTGCTGCTTATTTTCAACTTATTGACAATCCACATACAACACAATCATTTCAATAACATATTACTTATTCAATTTATTTTCTCTTACTTGTATACACAGACCTTGAGTATGATATATATTTTTTTACAAATTAAGCTTTGTTTTTATATGATGACATAGTATCGAAGCAGTATTTGACAAAGAAATGTGAGTCAGAGAGATGTTCAAATTTAGAGTTCCTTAGTCTGTTATTAATATAGCTACTTGGATTGTGTAGACTAATTGTTACCTAGACTGCTGAACTCACTATTTATGCTTTTCCAAGCCTTCTGCAACCGCAGAAATACGGATACAATGAAACTATTGAATAACCTGGTATCTTAGCAGTTCTATATAATAATATTTTGTCCAAAATCCACTGTATGAATATTCATAGCACTTACCTTATGTGATGTACAGATTCGGAGAATACACTGTTCTGCCTGCATCGAAATGCTAAAGTAGCTTTTACACAGACTATGGTTCTGTCTTCCTTTAGTCTTATCAATATAAAAATTTGTAGGAAAGCTTCATGTGTTGCACTGCGGTAGTAAGTAATTCCATATTAGTTTGTTTACCACAGTGAAACAGTATTATTTACTGGATGACGTTTCGAACAAAATTTATCGTTCATAGTCATATCGATTACGGTCACACGACTTTGAAACTTGAGTTTTCTTATTCTCTGCTACTCGTCTCAGGGGTATGTTCGGCTAGTCTGACTGCTCCTGTTCTACTAGTTTGACCTATGTATCTGACCTGACAATCATCACAGGGTATTAAGCAGACTAAATTGTTTTGTTGCTTCTTAGAATTTCCAGCGTTTTCTCTGTTAACTAGTTCTCAACCAAAGCTAATGAACTGTCATCCATACTCCCGGTTTTCATCTGAAATCGTACTGGTTAATTGCTCATGGATGATCGGCTTTTAGATGTACTGTGCTACAACTGCATTTCAGAATGCTCATGTTGTGGTGTGATTTAATTGACCTGCATCCACGCTAAACTTGCTCAACATGTAATCGTGTGGAATGTCGACATCGGATATACAACTGCAACTGAGGTTGCAATAGCTTTCTCCAGTTTGGAACGAGGCCAAGCAACGGGGCATTGTGGAATTATTCTAACGATGCTTGAGGGTGGTGATGATGCAACCATTGTCAAAAATAACTAAGATATTACGCAATGTGTGAGAATCATAACTACATTGGATTGGTGTTATTCACTGACTATTCCATTGCATAATAGGGGAGACAATTCTTCCTGTGATAATTGTCTCAGAGCTTGAATAACATGGTATCTTAAGTTCTAAGTTAACTGGTCACGTGTAGACTGAGTGGTGCTAGGGAGAAACAAACCAGACGAGGCTTCACTGGTCATACTTTCACTCCACCAGGTTCTCTGACATAGGCGTCCGAAACTTGCTATAATTCATAACTTAAAGGTGACATGTGATTCCGACGTGCACGATTGCATTTTGCGTTAAGCATACTTAATGTAAAAGCCTCTTAGAAGGATGATGTTCACTGGCAAGTTTTCTTGGTTGAGAACGAGGAACGGGTGAGCAGGATAGTTTGTTTCTATGTTGAGAGTTGTATTATGACCATGCATGTGAAATTCAACAAAAGTCTATGTCGTTGGGGTAATCTGAGAAGTCAGTGCGGTCGGCGAAATTCATCTTCAACGATCGACTTTTTTATCTCCACGTTCCTAGGGCATAAGTATTTGAATAAGCAGGAGAATAGTGCTACATTATGCTGAGATAATGTATTTCTCCGATCATTCGTTATTCTCTTTGCTTAAATGTATTCTTCGACCTACGAATCTCTGATTTTCTTCCTCTTTTGGTAGAGTAAAGGCTATGGAGCCTTGCTACGAAGTCACAGTTAATTAAGTCATTGAATAGTGTTACCGAAACTTGATCTGCGTTAAATCAGATAGCTTCACACCAACTACTGACATTACTGGTGGTTAAAGCCAGCAAACAAAGGTGTTTTTAAAAAAATAATCCCATCATATGGTCTTTCAAGAATCAACCTAGAACTAAGAACCATTTATTTTCGAGTCGGTTTTCACTGCTGATTGGAGTTATCTAAAAAACTGTTGAAAACCCAAAAGTGTGCTTTTGATAGGAGCAGTATGAAGGCAAACCATGCGACTATTACCCAATACTATTGATAATGTTTTGTTAAATGCAAAAATACAGTGTAATAGTCGCGCCTCATCATTCCGATTTTAAAGTAATAGGCAAATGTGTTACACACTTGTTACTGGTGCTTCACAGATTAAGTAAAGCTATAAATGGGCTAAGGACTTTAAAATCAACAGGATTATTACTGCTTCAGGAAAGGCATACTTTTTATGTTGTGTTCACAATATTTGAACATATGTACTACCGTCACAAAATCTATTTGAAAAGTAGAATTAAAATATGTAGTCACTACGAGATATCACTATTAATTAAAAGACATAAGTATTCGAAACAGTTAGTCCGCTTTGTGAATTTCAACAAGACAGTGAGTAAACGTAATTTATCTGAATCGTGTAATGTATTCGGTACCATGGCAGATGTATTATTACCTCCATTCTTTGGTTTATTGACTTCCACTTTATTATGACACAACACTTTATTGTTTAGATCAGAAGTAGTTAGAGCGAACAATTGTTTTGAATAAATTCTTCAGGCTGCACAATTATAGATCCATTAATTTAGGCGCACAATAGCCAGTAAAGGCAAATCTGAATCATCAGTAATGTATTGTGGGACAAGTATAAGATGCGACCGAACAACAGTCAGTTAGATTTCTTTGTTATCGTTTAGAATATGCATGGTCAATGAGAACATGAGATATGTAGCATACCTATGACAATTATATGTGTGTTCAGATTGTTCGGAATGTGTTGCAGAAATACATTACATGATTCAGATAATTTACGTCTTCTTATTGCTTTGTGGGAAATCAAAGTAGTCATTAATGTTTGGTGTTTTAAAGTCTGTAAGTTTATATGGTAAAGCTTTATCAAAATGCAGCAATGAAAAACTTGAGTTAAACTCTTCTGACATGTATACATTTTTGGAGGTTGTTGAAGTAATACGATAAAATTTAAAACAATTAGTTCCCTTTATGAATTTAGATAAAGCAATAAGAAGACGTAATTTGTCTGAATCGTGTAATGTATTTGCGCAACTTATTTCGAACAATCTGATCACACACGGACTTGTCATAGGAATATATATATAAAAAATTAATAAAGAGGTAAGAGGTGAGAAAAATAGACTTAGGTCAAGTTAAAAGGACATATTCAAGGTCAAAAAATAAAAATGAAGAACACTAAACCAAATAGCAGAGGTAATAGTACATCTGCTATGGTATCAAAACAAAATTTACCAAGGAAGGTTTAATGTGATGACAAATTGTTTTTGAACACATAAAGGTGGCTTGAACTTTCTAATTGCTAGGGCTTCTAAAAACTTTAGGATACGCCCCAAACACGTTTTATAGATAGGTTTAAAAGATCTGTTAACATCAATTTTATGACCTGTCTCTATAATATGTTTCGCAATAGAAGAGCTAGGTCTCCTGTTCTCACCGTTAATAGGTTCTGATGATTCCAATTGTTTCTGGAGCCATTTACATTACACGATTCAGACAAATTACGTCTTCTTATTGCTTTATCTAAATACGATAAAACTCAATTCCAAAGAAGTCTTCTGAACAATAAGCTTATGATTTACCCCAGTGATACTGTGCACATGACTAATATAAATGGTTACTTGAATATTATTCTGATTCACTGAAAGCACGACTGAACGGATAAGCTATGAGTCATGTTTAAAACTCATGAAGTTGTTGAAAGATCGGTCACCTCATTTTGGTAGCAAAAATATGTTTGTAAATGCTAATAAGTATACAACCTATGGTATTCACTCACCCGAATTAATTGTATTTATTCAAAATATTTAAAAAAGCAGTATTTGATGAATTCATAGATTTCCGTTGGACTAATCAGCTGAATGCTCTACGAACATTGTTAGTTATACAGTTTCTAAGGTTAAATACGTACAAACACATGAAGATTTTGACAACAGATAAGTATCAATTTAAAAATATATGTGATCTATAAACGGTGACTGGTAATCTGTTAACGCCATTAAGAAGTGAAAAATATTCATCAAAATACACAGTGACAATATGGAAGCTCCTCCTATAAAATTTAAACATATGGTCAGATTGGAATTTTCTAAAGGATGCTTACAAACGTGCATTTTCTACAAATCAATCAGAAAGGATAATTTAAGATCTGTTAGGTCGATTCTTCAACGCTTAACCGACTCCCATATTTGTTCGGAGTTGGATATTATTAAGGGCTTATTCACATAAGTATAAAACTTGGCCACTGTGGTAGAGTATAACTCCATTATGGATAAGATTTTATTTTGATAAATCACACAGTGTTATCTATACTTGCAAGTAATGTGATACATTTGAAAAATTATCGCCTAATATAATCCTATTTGAAACATCATAATTGTATACACTAGACTCTAAGAAAAGTAAAATTTTGTGAAGAATGAAACTTCATCGATCTTTACTCCATAATGACGTAAGTGATATTTGTCCATATCAGCCAAATTCATATGTTCAAAAATCATCCAATTTCACATAAACGAAGTTACAGATGGAGACGACATCTTCGGGTTTCGAATTTTGTGCGGAATATCGACCAGGTTGATGTAGACAGTCAAAGTCAAAATTCTATTTGATGAATTAACAAGCCTCAAAGCTTTTTCCGATGATACTGCTGGATGGTTGAGATCGAAAATTGTGTATAGTTCACACCAATGTAGGATTATGCCAGCTAAACACATGGCTAGTATATCAAAGGAGCATTAGAAGTAGTACTTATAGCTGACAAGAAAGAAAGACAAGATGTTACATCCTGTTAAAGTATAGTGTGAGGTTATCATAGATAGGAATGACTATTTAGGGAGAATGAAAGCAGTACTATCGGATGAGACTAAATTTCAGATGGATCGCAGAGGTATAAATCAGACAATTGGAAAGGAGATAGGGAAACTATTTAGGAAGTTGTTAATAGATTAATATGTCGATGTT